CCCTGTGGATGCTTCTGCTGGTCAGACACCGCAGCTGTGGTCTGAGGGGCCACAGTTTCCATCAGCCCCCTGTCCCAGGGAGAACTGTCCTCAGGATGCCAGGTGCAGGGGGACCCAGGGGTCATAGCCAAGACACACCACTGGGGTGGGCATGCTGTGCAGTGGCCCGGATGCTGGGCAGGCCAAGCCAGGTCGTCATGAGGCCCGCCTGCTCCATCCCAGCCACGTCCCAGCATCAGCAGTCCTCAGCGACAAGCCCACCCCCGCCGGACTCAGCTGATTGGGAACCTTAAGAATCCAGAAAAATCCACACTGCAAGTGCAGCTCCAGTGTCGCCAGGGAACCGGAGCCCTCGTAGTAGGCCAGCAGAGGCACCGGCCAGGTGCGCAGCAGAAGGCTGGCTAACCAGTGACTGAGTCATAGGTGTTGGCATAGCGGCTCCCTATGGAATCCACGCTTGCCTTGAAGTTGCTATGTGTCCAGGCTGGGACGGACGGGGATTCAGGGTCCTCCTGTCTCAGCCTCCTGGGTGCAGGGTAAAGGCCCACACCAGCACACCTGGCCTGAATCTTACATGTATGAGAAGTTCAGGGCTGGCAGTGTAGCTCGGCAGCATAATCACCTGCCTGGAAGCCAAGGTTCTGAGTTCAATCCCTGGTACCAAACCTCCAAACCAAATCAAACTAACACAAAACAAAAAGCTCAGTTAGCAAAAGTAACTTGGTGGAGGGGGCCCGCCCCTTAGCTCAGTTCTTTAAATGCCTGCTTCAACAAAGCAGTCAGGCTCAGGTTGCTGGGGTTCGACCCCTACAACTCAAGCCAGCCAAACCTGCCCTGAAGGCACTTGGAGCACAAAAAAAAGTAACTTGGTGGAGTCAGGAAAATGAACTCATGCTTTGAGCTTGGATTCATAGTGACTCTAATACTTGCCTGTTGATGGTAATTAATACAGGCGCTGATGAATGCCCTCACCTACCCCTTCTGGCTCCAGCAGGTGAGCCTATGATTATTTCGATTTTACTGTGGGTTGAAGGCAGCTTGGCTGGGGCCATGCCCCTGTCACACTCGGCCATACGGTGCAGACCCGGCCTGGGTAGGAGGCCCGAGAGCTGAGAAGGTGCTGAGCACGTGGGGCTCCACGCATGGTTCCTGCCGGGGAAGGTGCCCAGGGCAGGGCCGGCACAGGGATGTGACCATCCTGACCAGCACTCACGACAGTGTGGTGCTGCAGGAAGACAGAAGCAAAGACCCCAGAGTAGCACAGAGGCCCAGCGACAGAGGGCGACAGCGCTGCGGCAAGGGATGCGGAGCAGCAGTCAGAAATGGGAAAACAAGGAAAGGAAAACTGGGCACTGAAACGCAGCGCAAAAGGAAACCTGGGCACAGTATGAGGCGCAAAGTCCCTGAACGTCTAGAGGAAAGTCTGGGAGAGCATTTTCAGGACGGAGGGCTGGACGAAACGTTCCTGGCCCGAAGCCAGAGTTCATTACTGTAACCATCTGCTTGTGAAAGGCCTGCGACGGGGAAAGAAGCGCTCCAGGAGGGGAGAAATACCTGGAACCACACACGGGACAAGACGCACATCCAGCATGCGTACAGGATCCTCAGACTCTATAAACAGTCCCAGTAGCAAGAGGACTGCAGACGCGAGCGGGTCCACGGCAGAGGACACGGAAGTGGCAGAGACTCGGTAGCGAAACGAACATTGGATCTCAGCAAGACAGATGTCGCTGTGTGCTCCTCCACGGCTGACGCCAACAGTGACAGCCCTGGGTGCAGAGGCACCAGCTCTCTGGTGGCAGCACAGGCAGCTCCTTACCGGGCTGCTCTCTGGCTGATCATATGCCAGAGCTGGGAGCAGGGTGCCCTCCAAAGGCTCAGCTCCCGACTGGTGGGGCCGGCGGGAGGCTTGTATCACAGGTCAGCCAGCGAGGAAGCCTCGGCTGGGCCCCTTCCTGCGGGGCTCTGGAGCCCAGGGCCAGCTTCAGGCCCAGGGAGGAGGGCCTTGCCCGGCATGCTTTGCTAGGCAGTGACTATACCTCATGGGCCTTCGGCTGGGGGCAGCAGGGAACTCAGGCCCCATGTGTGCAGCGTGCTGGGTGCATGTGGGGACCAGGAGGGTGACACAACCCCAGGAACCTGCCTTGGGTCTGTGGCAGGAGCGTGCCTTCCCAGGCTGTCCTCCTGCTCGGAAATGCGACAGCTACTGCCAAGGCCAGCATGGCCGCGGGAACTTTCTCGGCGCCGATCACCAAGGGTCAGGAAAGCCGAGAGTGACACTCTGAAGAACTCCAGACCAAGAACTCGGTCCCAAAGCTGCTGCGGGCCCTGGACGGAGGGCTGCACTGCTGCTAACCACTGGACCAGGCAGGAGGCACAGGAAGATTGTGCCGAAGAGGCCCAATGTGGGGACCTGGAGCCATGGGGCACACCTCTCAGCCAGAGGGGCACCACGGCTCTGAGCCCCACATCCCAGGACCGCAGGAGCAGGGAGTGGTACCAAAGAGGGCCACAAAGCCGGGGGGAGACGGGCCAGTCAACGAAGTGGGGACTCCATGCCTGCTGCCCACTGATGTCCCCAAGCGAACCCCAACCCTCGAAAGTTCCTCTCTTGCTTAGTCAATATTTAGTCTTCCTTGCGTTTGTTTTCTGTTAGACTGCACATCCGAAGCCTTTCATTAGCCCATCAGTCCAGAGAGGAATGACTCATTCCTGGTGGTAGCTTTTCCCACAAAGGCCGGAGTAAAACCCTTCCATTATGGAATTTCCTGATGGGAGAGTGGACTGTGGAGGACTCCAGGTCCTGGGGACAGTGCTGCTGGGAACACCCACCTGCCATGCTTTATGCAGAGGTCACCTCTTCTTCTGGACCTCGAGAGGGGAGCAGGGGGCGCCAGACCCTGGGGTGCTGACAGCCGACACGTCCCTCATACTCAGGCCGAGTCCTGGCAAAGCTTGGAGTGAGTGCAGAGAAGCAGAACAGGGCTCGGGGTTCACGGTGGCTGCCGCCCCCCCAGGCCAGCCCAGATGGTGAGCAGTGCCAACCACCAGCCAGGGGGGTCTAGGGCTTAAAGGCTTAAGGGGATTTCCTAGCGAGCAAGATGCAGCAATTTGTGGCTTTTGTTACCCTAATGAGTAAAACCAGCTACACATTTAGAAAGACTTTCATTATCGATTTTTTTTACAACAAGAAGCTAAGATGAGGAAAATCTGATTTGGGGTAGGAAGACCTAGAGTTCTAGCACCTTGAAGTAGGTCCTTGACCAGGAGGAAGGCCTGCCCGATCCTGAATGGGAGCACGCCCAGCTGCGCTCCCACCTTTCCCAGCCTGTCCAAGAGGTACCCTTGGCTGCTTGTAGCTGATCTGCCCACCCACGGGACTGCCCTGCCCCTTCAGGGGCTGTGGGGACAGCTGCCCATGGTTTTGCAGAAATACCGCCACTCGCTTTTCCCTCTGGTCACCCTGGTATCCCTGCTCCTTACCACTCCAAAAGCCAATCTAGGGAATAACGACAATGGTGATGAAAGGTGTTCACCACTGCGTGGCCGGAGGGCGCACCCTCCTTGGCCCCTCGAGTGCGCAGGACAGACTGCCCCAGGCTCCACGGGCTCTGGGTTTGAGGCAGAGCGCCAGGGTGGGGCTGCCTGATAAAATGTGGGACCCAGCCGTGTGGGGTGGTGCATGCCTGTAATCCCAGCACTCTGTGAGGCCGAAGCAAAGCACAAGTTCAATCCCAGCTGGGACTTTAGTGACTTAGTAAGTCCCTGTCTCAAAATTTAAACAAATACAAAAATAAAAAGACTGGGTATGTAGTTCAGGGTGAGGGTCCTGCATTCAATCCTCATTGCCAAAAAACAATACACACACACACACACACACACACACACACACACACAATCAACCATCCAGCCAACCAACCAAAAAACCCCAAACCAAACAGGACCTGCAGTTGAATGCGATTCAGATGAACGAAGGATGCCATGTACATATGGGCAGGGCCCCGGGGCTCCTTGGGGGCACACTCAGGTGTGAGCATGGTCCACTGGGGTCCTGGGTTTTGGGTGGCTTCCTCTGGCAGCCCCAGCAGAGGCCTCCTCCCTGACCTTGGCCCCACCCCATGAGAAGGACCTTCCCCTCCCTGGATGCAGGAGGCTGCGGGTGGGGAGCTCGTAGGCACAGAATCACAGGGTCTAGTGGGGGCCACTGCAGCGGGAACTGCAGGTCTGGGGCTGGTTAGACTGCACGTTCCCACGTGCTGCGGTGGGTCACGCGCCACATTTGCAGTGGGCCATGCTGTCTTGGCTGGAGTCTCCACACTGCTAAGGGTGGGGGGAGGCATGCTTGCTTCCTGCCAGTGACAGGATGTAGACACCCAAGACATGGCACTTGCTTCCCAAGGGCCCCTGCATGCAATGATGTGGCTGTCATAGTTTGTGCTACACAGAAGTCTGTGTTGGGGGCAGGTTCTTAGGCCACCCTGCAGGTGAGGGACAGAGGCCTCAGATGTGGCTTACTTCATGGGCCTGGTGAAGGCTGGCCTCATTTCCTACTGTGCTTGGGACCAGATCCAAAGTGTAGCCCATGAGACCTCGCTCAGCAAGGCTCAGTCTCTGCCCAGCCTCCTGCCCCAGGTTCTGGGCCCGTGCTCCCTCCCCTTGGGGCTCCTTGCAGCACATGCAGTGACCCCAGGCCCTAGCCCCTCTCTGTGCTGCTCTGTCCTGTGCCAGTCCCCAGACTTCAAGTCACCTCCACAGAGGGTCTTCCACAGCCGACTGTGTCCCCACCACTCTCAGAGAAGTCAGTTTCCTCTGGCCTGGGTCATTGTAATCCACTGAGATTATTGCAGCTCTCGTTTGTACCCCTGGGCCTTGAGGTCCCCAAGAACAGGGTGTGCTGAGGACCAAGTCCTGAGGCACTGGACCCTGCCTGCCCTGGCCCAGTAGTGGCTTGTGGTCCCCAGCAAACACACATCAAGGTGTCCCAAGTAGTCCGTGCTCACCTGGCTTGGAGCCCTCATCCACAGAGCCATTGTAGACCTGGTTGATGAACTCAGGGCGGTTGTCGTTCATGTCAATGACATAGATGTACAGGTCAATGGGGTTCTCCACCTTGTTGCCATTCATGTCCACAGCATGGGCTCGGAGCTGGGGACAACATAACAGGTCAGGGCTGGCAGCCCCCTTGGTGGCCCTGACTCTGCTGAAGGCAGTATCCCAGGCCCCGAGACAGCAGAGGCAGCCTGGGTGGGGCCAGTGGGGCTCTGGTTATGGCCAAGAACTTCTCTCAGCTTCAGCTCTCTGTCCTCTGAGTTCCCGCTGGCCAAGGCCACCAAGGCCTCTAGGTCTGCTGAGACAGTTCTCCACTGTCTGGGGCAGGACAGATGTCCACACTTCCATGAGCATCACCCTGCTCAAGGTGGCTGCAGAAAGGACATCTATGCCCAGCAGCACCCTGGCATTAATGGCTGTGCCTGCAGGAGACCCAGAGAGGAGACACATAGGGGTGCCCAGAGAGGCCCGAGCTTGCACCGGGAGCAGGGCTCACATTGAGCGTAGGCTATGGCATCTGCTGGCCTGGCCCTCTGGGGAAGGGGTGGCCAGAGAGGGCTGGGAAGACCCTCCTGCCCCTGCCAGGGGAGGAGACTCCAGAGAACTTCAAGTAAAAATGGGGACACACCCTGAACTTGGGCTGGAAGATCTCAGAGAGACTGCTCAGACTTAATTTTTCATTCATTCCTTCATTCATTCATTCACTCATTCATTCATTCAGTGCCTATCAAGGACCTGCAATGCCACGTGCTGGGCCACATCTCAGATTATCCTGTAATGCCACGTGCTGCAATGCCACGTGCTGGGCCACATCTCAGATCATCCTGTAATAAGCAAGTGACTGGCCGCGGCACTTCTCACCAGGAGGGAAATGGAGTGAGGCAGGACAAGATGGTCCTGTCATGGGTAGAATGACAGCAGCCCAGGTCACAAGAGGTCAGGGACGGAGGCCTGTCGGAGGGGACAGTCTGAGACCTCAAGGGCAGAACAGGGATGAGGACAGGGTGGCTGAGCTCTTGGGCCGGAGAGAGGGAGGGGGCGTGGTCCTTGGGACCTGGGATTTTAGGGAGAAATCAGACCTCGGGGCCCCAGGTCTCCCTACACCAAAGCCACGACTGTCACCTGGTGTCCTTGGCTCACTTTTCTCTGCAGCGCCTCCACGGGTGCCAAGAGGAGTGGTGCTCGGGGCTACCTGAGCCGCGAGGCTGCGTGGGGAGGCGCATTGCCTGCCCGCCCGCCAGAGGGCAACGCCGAGCCAGCCAGGTCTGCGCAGGAGCCTGTGCTTCGGTGGGTCTTCTGACAGCCAGGAGTGGAATTCTGCGACTAAACTGTGTGTTAAGGGGAACCTCAAGCCTGGCTTTCCTGACGAGGCAAGAGCATCAGTGTATGGAGAAATTAGGACTGATTCCTGGGGACGCTGCGAGCACAGGAAGCGATGGTATGTGTGTGCCTTGCGCCAGTTTGAAGTACTGCGTTTAAACATCTTGGGACATTTCTGCTGCTCACGGATGCCCACCGGTCACCAGCTGATCCTTGTCATGGTCAGCACTGCAGCCAGCTGGGGGCTTCTCGTGGAGGCTGGCACCTTCATCTCATCAGACGCAGCCACGCAACAAAGTGCAGACCAAAGGTCAGGAGCCCTTGAGTCCGCGATGCTGAGCGGGGATGAAGGTCACCTCCTTCTAACCAGAGCTACACTCTAGCTTGGGCGCTGCCTTCAGCAGTGGGAATGCCCAGGCCAGACATGGAGCGCTGCCAGGGTGGGGAGCTGTGCTATCCCCCCCAGAAGTTTTCATTACATTTCAGGCTTCTGTTGGGGATCTCTGAGCAAGCCTTCTCCCCACATCTATCAGGCTGGGCTCACCCGCTGAGGCTTGCACTGGTACTGCCTTGCCAGAGGGGAATACAAATGCCAATGGAGGAGTTACCCAGCTTTCTACAACTTGTCCTTTCGAGTATCGCTCGCAGAGTGAACTTCCAGCAGTGTTATGAATCCGCCTGGTTCTCTGTCATTATGCTGGGAGAGGCCAGAAGCAGGCATGAGAGCGTGGGCCTGGCATTTGGGCTGGTGATGTGCATGGGAGGAGAGCGGGCTGCGAGCGCCTGGCTGCTGCAGGTGGAATCCAGTTCTCCCTCTTTTGGTTGCCTGCCCTTGACTTCTCACTTATGTGTCAGAGGTTCCCCCGGGGCCACAGGGCCCTCTGTGGTCCACCCAGGCCTTGCAAATTGTCCTGGGGGCGTGCTATAGAGATTTTCCTCATCAGTGGCCCCAGCATTCATGACCCGGGCTGGGCGGCACCCTGACAGTGCCTTCACTGGGGTCTGTGAGACTCCATTTCTGCTTTGCAGACAGGGAAGCCAAGGCCTAGAAGATTAGGGAACTTGCCCAGCTGACAGAGTGTGGTGGGATTCCTTACTGTATCCTTAGAAGAATCTGTCAGCATGTCATCTTGCAGGACAATCGTTTGAATGTCTACTTGCTGATTTCCTAAGGTGACAGATGTCCACAACTGTCCTGTGGCCACGGCGACCTCAGGATGGGGGTCTGGCCTGACCCCCCCACCAGTGAAAAATGGGATGGGGTTCAAAGGCACCAGGAGGGTAGAGAGTTCCAGATGGCTCCACCTGGGAACACAATCAGAAGCCCTGTGCCGGGGTGCAGGGCGCTGCTGGACACAGGGACCTTAAGGCAGGGTGTCCATCCAGGCAGGCCTGATCTGCCCCCCCTCAGGACTTTGAAAGTGTGCCTTCTCTCCCTGGTAGCCTGTGGCCACAGCGTTCCCAGATATGCAATTTAGGACCCAGGCAGCGTGTGGTGCTGAGGGGCTTTGGAGCTTGGTCAGCCAAAATCCAGAGCAAGTGGAGGTAAACGTGCAAGGAGAACTGGGGCAGAGGAAGTGGGGCCTTCGCACAATGCCATCCTGGAAGTGAGAGGGTTGTAAATGTTGCCTGTGGATGAGAGGAGGGCTTTGCCCCTCGAGTGGCCATCCCAGCCTCTGACCCTGCTACTGCCTCCTCGGTTCTCTCCATGGAAAGGCAAGGCCGCTGATGGGGGGCTGAGACTGCCAGCAGTGTGTATGGCCCCAAGCCGCTGTGGCCAGATCTCCCCCGCACTACCTGCAGCCCCCTTCCCAGGCCTGAGGGCTCCGGGGTGGGGCATGGGGGGCTCTCGGGTGAGACAGAGGCTGGCAGGGATTCAGGGTGCCGAGGCCCAGAGCAGAGCAGTGGAGGTGCAGAGGGAGGGCCCAGCCAGCGAGGCCCCTAGGGCCATGGAGATGGGGTGAGCCCCCAGTCAGGGCCTAGCCTGGGAGGAAGGTGGGGTCTTTTGGGTCGGTCAGAATTTCACACTTGGTGGATGACAGGGCCACAGTACGGGCCCACAGGTGGCCCCAGAGCACGCTGGCCTGACTGGCAAGATCCCGCGCTCTGCTCAGAAGGGCCCGAGTGCAACCTCATTTGTGAGTTCTGACCTTTCCCTCTGGAAATTCGTTTCGGAGGAGGGGCCCTGCGGTCTCCTTTGCACCAGGACTTGGAGCTCTCTGTCTGTCCCAGATGTGTAGAGTGACTCCGGAGCTTGGCTAGAGCAGGCCCCACCACCCTGCTCGAGTTTCTGAGCCTGGCCTCGTGCTTATGAAGCCAACTTCCTTTTAGCCAGACTGGAAGATTAGGAGAAATGAGCCTGAGAAGGCCCCGCTGCAGCTGGTCACCTGCTTGCTGGAGGCCCTGCAAGAGCTGCCCCCTCCCAGAAGAGACAGAAGTCACTTTGGAGAGGCCCAGAGGCAGCTGGCTGAGTGGAGCAACCCTGCAGCAGGCAATCATAGCAGCGAGATCCTGGCCCCAGAGCCGAGGCCGCTGGGAGCAGAGAAGGCGAAAGCAAGGACCCCATGGCCGAGGAGCTTCCTTCAGGAGACCGAAATAATTAAAAATTAATCTGTCTAATCTTGAAGAGGTGAATTTAATCAGAAAGTGGGCTCCTTGTGTGGCCCGTACAGAGGCAAAGTGTCCGTGAAGGAGCAGGCTCAAGCTGAGCCCTGCTCAGGAGGGAGTCAGCAGGACAGGAGGCCCACTAGCAGGCCCGGTGGGGCCGGCAGGGCCAGGGGCCGCGGGCACAGGGGGAGGCTCACCTGCCTCACCCCACCCTCCCTTGCCTCATCCCTTCTGTCAGTGGTCAGTTGGCCCGGTGGCTGGCTGAGCGCCCAGCTGGACTCAGCACTGAGGCCCTGACGAATGCTTTCTGGAGGAGATGGTGCATGTGCAGGGAGGAAGGGGAGGGGAGCGAGGGAGGGGCAGGCCCGGGGAGTGGCCGTGTGGCCCAGAAGCCCGCAGGCCTTGCAAGTATGTGTGTGAGGGTGGCCAAAAGACCGGTGGACCCTCTTTTTCAAGGGCGACCTGGGCGTCACAGCATGGGCTGAGAGAGAAGTCAAGCCCCTCTGAGCCTCCGCTGTGCCTCCGTGCCTCCGCCTTGGCCTCAAACAACTTGCCTCCCTAACAATGAGGCCTGTGCGTCCAGACACTGTCCCTCACATCCCTCAGCCCACGGGCAAAGCCACCATTCTGGCTCCAGAAGGACACAGTGACTTTTCTGCAGATGCTCAGGTTCCCGGGGGAAACCTCTCTCCACAGCTAACAAGACAGCCTGCTTCCCCACCTCCTCTTCCTGACCCTGGCCTCCACCATCAGACGCAGAGCCAAGGAGCGGCTCAGATGGTGCCTCCTGGGGGTGCGGAGACTTCGTGACACTGCTGCTGCAGGGCAGGGAAGCAGCCTGCTCAGGGGACGTGGTGCCTTCTCATCCCGGCATGTGCAAGCTCCCTAAAGAGGGACCACGTGGACTCTGCTCACCTCCACCTTTGGGGCGTCTACCACTGGGCCCAGTGCACTGCCAAGATGACGGATGGATGGAGGGTGGTGGAAGAGGGCTAGGTGAGGATGGGGTTAAATACTTGGCCAATGGGATGGGCCTGTGAATGCGTGTCTGGTGGGTGGGCAAATGGATGAGGGGATGGCTGGACAGCTGCGTAGCTAGATAAATGGACAGGAGGATGAGTGGATGGGGGGTAGGTGGACGGAGAAGTGAACAGGCACATTATGTCTGTATGTCTGTACGGATGTATGCATACATAAGGGATAGTGAAGTAGGTAAGGAGAAGAACCTGGAGGTTGGGCAAGGCTGCCCTGTCCTGTAGGAGGGTGTCTAAGTCCAGGGACTGGAGAGCAGATGCCAGGTGCTGTAGGCCTGACTCTCCTCACACCTGGCTTTGCTCACTGGCAGAAGCTACAAAGCACATGGCAGCTTTTGGTCTGTCAACTAGAGACTGAGGCTCCCTGGGGCGTGGGCAGCTGGGGTACGCAGGAGATCTTGGGGCTCTGAAGGAAGTAGCGAGCCCGAGGTGGGCTCCCTGGAGTCCACTCAGCCAAGCATCCGATGGTGCAGGGGTCAGTGGGGGAGGTCATGTGGCTGAAGCAGAATCAAGCTCCTGCCCTTACGGCCCTCCCTTCTGCAGCACAGTGAGCACCTCCAGGGCCAGGCGCTGCCTCTGGGGCCGGGTGCAGTGTGGACAAGCCTGACCACTCCCCATGGACACAGAGCCTCCTTCTGGTGGGAGATGGACAGTAAATTTCAAACGAATGACCAGCACAGAGGAGGAACAGCTGGTCAGGCTTTGATTGGCACCCTGGGCTGGAGCAAGTGAAGTCAGAGCAATTCATGGGACAGCAGGGGCAGAAGCTGCACAGCCCAGCTTTGTGGCCAAAGTAGGAGGAGCTAGACGGGCACCATCACAACATCAACCCGAGGCACACACACCATTCTTGTCCACACATTAACCCACCCCTGTCCTCAGAGCAGCCGCTTGGGGCGGGAGGGGGCAGCTACTGTTGTTGAATCTTCACGTGGCAGGAAAGGGCTGAGGTGGGGAGAGGCTCGCCGAGGTCCACACCACCCGCTCTCCCCGCCCTCAGTTGTGGATACTCACGTGGTAAGAGGCTCGCTCTTCCCGGTCCATGGGCCGCGTGACGTACATGCGCCCGGACATGGAGTCAATGCTGAAGACCTCCATGGGTGGCTGGTCAGCGCCCACGCCTGTGATGCTGTACCGGATGGGGATGTCGTTGTCTTTGTCAGACCGGATCTGAAAGGAAGGAGGGAGAGACGTGGGAAGTGTGCCTGCAGTGGGTGAGGCCGACATGCCCAGCCCTCCCTCCAAGTAGCTCATGAATCTGTTTTTAGGGTCCTTTAGGGACCACAGCTAATCCATCCACCCTGGCAACTAGAAGGGCGATTGGCACTCAGGTGTTTCCCAAGTGCCACCAGTGACATGTCCAGTGGCCCCCTGGGTCACCAAAAGGTACAAGATACCATACATCAAGTTCAGCGCCGATGTAGCGAGCATGGGATGCCTGGCAGAGATACACAACACAGCTGGAAAGGACGGAGGGATGGCTCAGATTGGCCAAGGGCGACAGAAACACTCTTAACCCTCTGCCATCAAATTGGGGCAGAGACCAGTTCTGAGGGTCGAGGTCACCTGCCAGGGTGCACCCTGTTGTGAAGGCACAGAGACCTCCAGATGCAAATGGAGAGCACGGCTGTCTCCATGCCTCTTTGACAGAGGTGCTGCGAGGTGGGACATAGCAGGACCTCAGGCTCCGGGCATTGACAGAAGATGACTGGCACTAGGGTGTAGGAACATCTTGGTCAGTAGAGCTACATGCACATGTGAAGGGACTTCCGAGAGAAAAAGAGAGAGAGAGAGAGAGAGAGAGAGAGAGAGGCTGTACAGTACTGAGAAACGATTGCACAGTGGCCTCAAATCAGGTAAGTGGGCTGAGACTCAGGGCCAGGGAAGACGTGGGAAAGTGCATGCTGGGGCGCAGAGCGTGCATTCCATCTGGGTGGGACCACTGTGTTTTCTGCCCAGATGTTAGCTAAACAGAAGTGTTTGGGAAACCAGAAGGATAACAGTAGAGTTAAGAACACAACGCACGTCTTTCGCTAGTCACAGCAAAACATCTTGTGACAAGAAAGGGACGCTGAGAGAAACACAGCCAACACATTTTGAAATGCAGCCTGACCCTCAGAGGGAGAGGATGTTTCCCTCAGGGCGTGGGCTCCCTCAGGAAGGGGGAGGAAGGCCATGGAGAACAGAGAGCAGCAACTGGGAAGGTGGAGCCTACAGATTTGCATTCAATTTTGACCACATCTTTAGAAAATCTGACTTCTTAAAAACACCTCAAGGCTCAGAGGCCCATGAAGTTGATGTGATGGATCCTGACTGTCACCTTGACTGCCTGTAGAGACACGGCGGAGATTAGTGAACCACTCTTGTGGGGGCGTCTGGGGGGCTGGGGCGTCTGGCCCCTTTCTTTCTGGCTCTGCCCCATCTCTGATTCCTGGCTGCCGTATGCAGAGCGGCCTCCTGTGCCTTCTGCTGTGATGTTCTGCCTTGAGCCCGTGGGCCGTGGACTGGAGCCCCTGCAGGCGTGAGCCACAGTGAGCCCTTTCCTCCTGTAGGTTGTGTACGCCAGGGCTTGTCCCCACCCCAAAAAGATGGCAAATATACTGTGGCCTGGCGAAAACTCTCTACAGGAGCTCCACAGAGCAAACCGGACCAAGACCTTCTATGAAACATTAAAATTAAAATCGAATGATAAAAATGCTTTTTTTTTGTGGAACCGGGGATTGAGCCCAGGCCCTGGTGCTTGCCAGGGAAGTGCTTATTCCCCTGAGCCATCTCCCCAGCCCCAATAAAAATGTTTAAAGCACCTTTAGAAATTTTTAAAAGGTTCTAAACTAAGCATTGGGCCAAATAGGAATCGAAACCGCTTTTAGAGGCTATTTAAAACCACTTGTTATACTCAGAGAAGTAATGATGAGTGAGCCTGCTGGTGAAGCCTGAGCTTGCTCCCCAGAAAATGCTCCGGCTCTGACGTGCTCAACAGATCTCCAGCCGGTGAGGAAGGAGTGCTCAGCCCGGGGAGGGAGCTCGAGGCCGCCGGCGACCGGCAGCCAGGACGGCGGCGTGGCCACGTCTGAGGATGACAGCAGAACCGCAGCTCCCCAAGAGATTCGAGAGCTATAATGGGAGGCGCATCCTCAAGAAAACACCTGCGCTTTTGGTAAACCCGAGGGAAAAAAAATAACACTTTTCTCACATCCTATTTTTTTTTGTTGAGCTCAACTGTGTTGAAAAAAACCTTTTCAGTTAAACTGATTATGGTTTGAGAAAATATAAACTTTGAGCAGAAAAAAGGGTGGGGCGGAGAAGTTCCCCTGACCTGAGCCGGGGCTGTAGCCTGCCAGGGCCTGACCCGAAGCTCTCCTAGAGCAGAGGGCAGCCGCAAAGTGGCCTGCGTGGTTGCCTGCGACCTGTAGCTGCAGCGTGACGTGGCGGGTGGCTGGGCCTGCTGACAGCAGGGAGCGCTGCAGCGTGTGCGGAAGCCCATATGTTCGTGCAGGGCTTATGCCAGAATTGTTTGAACCGGGGATTGAACTTGGGCCCTTGCGCTTGCCAGGGAAGTGCTTATTCCACTGAGCCATCTCCCCGGCCCCCTGACTGAAGGGCTTCTTGCTGGGTGACTTATTTCTATAGCACAGTAAGGAGTAGAAGAGTGTTGGTGGAGGATCGGAAGGAATTGATGATGAGTATCCTTTCCGGGTTAATTTATACCCCAATCCACAAGTCATGCCCCAGAAGACCCCAATTCTTAGAAGACTCAGCCTTCGAGGGAGCATCTTTTGTAATCCAGCGTTTGCTGAGGTGGCACCAGCGCTGCTCACGCTAGGGTCATGAGCAGGGTGGTCAGCAGCCGGCCGCTCCTGCCCTGGGAAGCACGTCCTGTTGTGGTTACAGGCAATGGAAGTCCCCTACCTGCCCGTGAGGAGGAGGTGAGGCTGGCACAGCACAGGTCGGTGGCAACCTGGGGCCTGGGAGGGGAAGCAGGCAGGACTGCAGGTGCATGCACCCGTGCTGTGCACGCACGCTCGCACGCTTGCACACAGGCCACACTTGTGAGCACACGCAGTCTTCAGGGCTGTCTTGCTTCTGGGCCCTCCGTATTCTCCAGGATTGGGCAGGCTCTGCACTCACCCCGAGCAGCATGCAGCAGACAGGGTTTCAGAGTACGTACTGAGTAAGACCAAGGAGGGCAGGCGGGCCTGGCCCGGGGGCGCTGGGACATTGTGCTTTGCTCCGTCCACCTCCAAACCCACTCCTCCCTCTTAGGGTGGTGGGGACCATCTGGGCTTGGTGGTGGCAGTGCCAGGAGTTGCAGGAAAAGTCTCCGGTGGAGTCCGAATTTCCCCCTGCACCACGGGAGGCCACTGAGCTCAGTGCCACCTGGCTGAGGCAGACGCTCTCCCTGGTGTCCTTTGGTGGGCGAGACTCTCCTCCATCCCTGGGGAGTTTCACCAGGGCTTGGTGACGAGGTACAGGGGGTGATGTCTAGACTAGAGGGCGCGGGCCCTCCTGGCCACCTGTGCAGGGAGAAGAGCCAGAGCGTGTGGGGCGAGGGCCTCAGCAGCGCCGTGAGGAGGGCCGGCGCACCGGAAGCGTGCCGGCCGCAGGCAGGACAGGCCCGTGGCGTGCGCGGCGGGGCTTCCCAGCCACACGGGGCCGCAGGACCCACTGGGCCGGGAGTGTCCTGCGGCTGGTGGCGTGGCAGGTCGGGCCCCCTCAGGCCACGCTGCCCGACTTCCAAGGGGAATTAATTACAGCACTACTGAAGAGTGCCCGCTGCGTACTCGAAGATAACTCTTCTTTTTTTGCAAAGATAACTTCTACTTTTTTTTTTTTTTTTTTTCTCAAAGAAACCTCATTAGGTTTTGACCACGGGGCCGCATTTGCTTAATCCTTCAGGGCCGTTTGACGGGTCCTTCTGAAATAGGGCGGGCGGCGGGCTGCTGCGGGGGCTCCCCCAGCTCGCGCCTGAAGAAGTACAGCGCGAGTGAGTCGCCGGATCGAGGGGGAGCAGCTCGCGCCTTGACTTGCGCCCGGAAAATGAGAGCGACTTCGCAGAAGTGCAGGGCTGGGCCGAGAATAAAGAGCACGGACAGCCGTTTCCGTCAGGCTCCTAGCTCTGCGGTGCCGCGGAGAATCATGCTGTTTTGCATTTGTTATTAAAGGACGGAACAGACGGTAAAAGGCTAGTTTAAAGTGAAGTCTACATTAAAGTAACTCACGGCGGCTGGCAATGGTGTGCCTGGCACCAGCCTGCAAGGCCAGCTCCGGCCTGAGCGGGGAGGGGCTGCGGGGAGGAAGCGCCTGGCCGAGACTGACTTCAGGGAAGGGAGAGACCCAGCCCAGACCGACCCCAGCCCGCGTCCCTGGGTCCTCAGGCGGCCAGCAGTGCCTCTGCCAGTTCGTGCCCGGTGTGCCACACCTGATATTGGGTCAGGAGGGGCAGCAGAGGACTCAGCCCAGCCTGGGCCATCATCTGCTGTCTCCTCAAGGGATGCACGGCATGGGACTGTAGGGACAAGGGGGTCTGTGAGGGTCCCCAGGATGGGGTTCGTGGGGTAGGGATCAGCTTCCAGGTAGTCAGGTCCAAAGCAGGCTTGTTTGCACTCATGGCTTTGCATGGTTCCTGTACACACACACACACACACACACACACACCCCACCTCCCACACACAAGTGTTTACAAATATGCACACACATATGCACAAGTACAATTCAGAGACACACGTTCCATAGACACACACAAACCCAGGCGCACGCCCACCCACCTCCCTTCTGCACCAGCTTCCAGCAGGAGCCCGTGGTGCTGCAGGCAGCGGCTTTGCCAGGAATAAGCTTCCCCTGGGGCCTGTCCTGGCATTGAGAAAGACGCGTTTGAAATCCTCAGGATCAAGTTCTTCTACCAGGATGTAATTTTCTCCTTTTCTTTTAGCCAGGATGTAACTCTTGAGTGAAGTGCTTCAGCATCTTCCCCTTGTACCATATTAAACCCAGGATTTTCACAGAAAAACAGATTGCACACGCTCGCCTGCAGTACCTGTTGGGAGTTTTGCACTGCCCGTAGCAGCTCCCATTTCTCTATCCACTGGAAAGCTCTGAGTCGTGACGCCTCGCGAGTCCCCCCTGGGCCTCCGCGCCAGGCTCTGGCAGCAGATTTACACTTGGCTGTGACT